TACTCTGCCACCCAATATGATATCCGGACTTAAAGAACTGGTATCTCAATCTATATTTAGATTAACATCTACAATGTACGACCACCTTCCTGTAACTTCCACTACCCAATCTTCTAACTTTCATAGATCATGATTTCTAGCAAGATCCCCACATTATTCCCCCACATCGTCTATTGAAATTAATTCAAAAGGTCCACAATTTCACTTTGGTATATATTCACATCAATTCAATACAGAGAAGCAAATTCTAAAAGAGATTTAGCAGCTAACTTTTGGAAAGAAAGGCAAAAGAAGAGAAAGAACTCAAACATTGCCCATGCCCTAAATAGATATAGTTTACATCATAACGGTGGAGAAAAGGAGCTCAGCGCTGTCTGTTTAAGTTGGAAGGTAATTACCCTGCTATTATCCTGCTGTATGGATTCTTAGGAGGGAAGGTCTAGAAACAGTAACCATTCAGAAATTTTGTACGAAGTGGTGTTCTAAAGCCTCAAGTCCACCACAGTGGTGGAAGTTATTAGGAAGGTCTAGCAAACAAAGCAAACCATACGAAGAAGTTTTAATAAAACAATGCAGTATACTAGGTTTCGACATTAATACCTTTGTCAAAAATCCATGCCCGAAGACATTCTTAGGAAGGTCTAGTCCAGCAGACATTAGCATAGCTGGCCAATAAACTGCATGAAAACGTAAAATGTCCTACAGAAGATTAACAGAATCATGAGAGGGATAGCATTGATATCAACTGAAGTCTGCAGAGATATATCTGGAGAAAGAAATCGACCATTTGGGATCAATGAATAATGTAACAAGTTAATAAGTGCATAAAAGCAATAATAACCTAATCACAACAAAGAAAACAAGAATTAAGGGAGAAAACAAAATAAGCAGGGAAAATCTCTGGATAGAGGCACACACGAAAATAAAACAAGAAAATGGATTCTTATTCGATTTTACAAGAAACTTGAGTAGGAATAGGATATGAACAAGCCTATTAATCTACTTGCAAAAGAATTCAACTTATATTAAAATTGTCATACGTATTATTATTTCAAAATTCAACCTTTTGAAAGTCAAGAACTGCCAATTTTATTAACATTGCTTGTCATTGCTACGATGTAAATTCTCATACCCCTGACCCACCAGTCAGAAAAAACAATATTTTTAGATGCTCATAGATGCTAACTTAACACAACAATTGCTAAGCATTGATAAATGATAGCTGATGCAGGAAGCAAAGAGGGTATTTTATTTATTTATTTGTAATTTAGTATTTCAGAGCTTTAAATAAATAATAAGTAAAATACCTTCTATTCTTGCTCATACAGTTCTTATGTTTTTATCTATAATTTAGTATTTGGACAACAGATCAACTCTGCATAAATGTACAAGAATTGCAAGGATTAATAGGAGTTGTTTATTTATCAGTCCATATAAAAACATAAGAATCATAAACCCAAGTATAATCATGACGCAGCCCATTATTAAACTTTTCTAGAAAAGCATCTCTACAGTAGAAGCAGTCCAGAAGGATGGAGATAGGAAAAAAATGATAGCAAGTAAATATAATAATATATGGAATTTTGTTAGCTATGATAATTTCGATGCTAATTTCACTTAAGGAACAAGGAAAAAGTTTGATAAAGTTTATAGATAAAAAAAACATCAAGAGCAGAAAAATTAGTCAAACCTTGCCAATCAAATGTAGTGAAGCCGGCCAGCCAGAAGAAACAGCAGTTTGTAAATCTGGTTGCTCATTTTCCGCTGATAGAGCTGATATATAGCTGGTCAATAAAAGGTAAAATTCAGTCAAACAGAGAACACAGCAGAAACAAGGTAATTGATACTCTCCAACTTTTGCAGTCAATAAGTAATAACAAAGACGAAGGCATACATTAGGCATACTTATAAGATCATCCAACAAGTAATCAGAGAAAGAACACAAGTCAGGATGAACACTAAAACTTTACCCAAGTAAAGCATCAAACCAAACATATATAGTCTGCTTATTGTTATTAGGAACCGGAATGCCCCAATCCACTGATGCACGAGAAATTGAAAAATCTTTCAAACCACTTTTGATCCAACTTTGTACCTGAAAGTATTGGTAGCAATAATGAGAATATGGAAGAGTTTCATGTCCAGGGTAAAATTTATGTGAACACCAAGTTAATGGAATTTCAGACGGCTTAAACAACAAACTTCCTGGCAGAAGTGATGACTTTTAGGTTCTAACACAATAAAAGAAATTAAATGACAAACTAAAAGACAGTCAGGTTCTTGTGGAACTACTAGATTCCCGGTGCATTGATAACATGAATATGCACCAATAACTGGCAGAAGCACCATATGAACATTAGACTGCAATAACCAAATACTGGATTTGCTTCCCCAGCCAAAAAAATGATAGATTACATGTCACTATTTGACATTCACATGACATGAGAATATACAACAATTTCATCAGCTCCTTTTTTAAAAAAAAGTTTTTACAGTATTTATAGTAATGCAGCATAAATCTAAATCATGTGAAGCAAGAGAAAAAAAAGAAACTACTTCGTTTCTAACCTCATTCAAACGAAATGGTGGCTGCACAAATTTCGGATTCCGTGTCAAATTTTCTTCTAATTGTTTTTGGTACTTCGATAGGGCAAAGAAGTAATTATCCTCCTTCCGTTCAATGCATGGCTTGAGGTGTGTAGGGCAACAGTTGTTATCAAGTAGCTCCTTCTCATCCTGTAGAATTTACAATGCTGGTGTCATCATTCGACCACAATACAACATCAGAGAATAGATAGAAATGCAAAGGCGCTACCTTATACTCCTCACAGTTGACACAGTACAATCCCTCATAATCAGCTCGGTAAATGTCACCCTTGGCAAGAACCCTCGAATAAAATTCCTTTACTATTCCTTCATGCTTAGGATCAGTTGTCCGAATGAACTTATCATAAGTAATCTCTAACTGCAAACCAGAAAAGGCACAAAATCGCAACCATTAGAACATTCACAATGATCAAATTACTAAATTGAAGGAGCAAATCATCCTAATCGAAAAAGCTTACATCTTTCCAAAGTGTCCTGTAAGCTTGAGATATGACATCGCAATGATCACTCGGGGTGGAACCGGCGGCGGCGGCGGAGGCGGCTATCTTCTCCCCGTGTTCATCCGTTCCAGTTACAAATATAACTTTCTTTCCTAAAAGCCTCTGCCATTTATATAAGCAGAAATAATCAGCCCTTTCCTCCAATCCATTAAACCGACTTTATAAAAATCCGGATAGAAAAGAAATAGTAACACCTAGCAAAACCTTTAATGAATTCAATTGAGCAACATAATAATCAGGGGCAATCCAACGCAACCATGAGCATAAAGAATCAAACTTTATAGCTAAAAAATATTAGAAAGAAAAAATTCACTAAATCCCATTAAAAATAAAACTGCATAAAACATAAAATGAAACCTGAAATCGAGCAATGGCATCAGCAGCGATAGTGGTGTAAGCACTCCCCATATGAGGAGGTGCATTAACGTAATAAAGTGGGGTTGTAAGGACAAAAGTCTCAGCTGGTTCACTACTTTGCAAATCATTATTGCTTGTTGCACAGGTGCAAAACATGGGACTCTTTAATTTACGAGGAAAGATGAGATTTTTAGAGAAATTAATACCGGTCTTGAAATGGGTTGTTTTTGCATTGATGGAATAGTTAAAAGGGTTTAGGAGACAGAGTGTGTTTTGTACAGAGTAGTTGATTCTAGCTGCCATTTTTCTTTATCTTCTAACTGCAAAAAAAATACAATAAAGTTTCAATCATTCTTAGTATTCTATTGCAGAGAACAACAAGGTTATCTGCAGTGGTGGATCCTCACAGAGACAGGGGAAGGCAACAACCTACCCTTTGAACCATTTTACAGGTTTAAGTCCCTACCGTTTCAAATAATTCGATTCTTTCCCTAAGTCAAATTTATTTGTAATTGGACTCCTTGATTTCAACTTAAGAAAAATGTTCTTGGCCCTTCATATTCGTGGAAAGTGTTATTCTTATCCCTTGTATCTCAAATGTGGTCCATTTACACAAACATTGCAGACAATTGATGAATCTGTCCCCACCAAATCTGCCCCTAGACCCTCAGAAGGGACAGAAATGAATTTTTTTATGAATATAGGAATTTTAATTTAACTTTTCTATGAAACAGTTCAGTGTTAGTTGAAAGGATGTTTTGACGCCGAGTAAGCAACAAGAATGAGTGCCTAGGTCCGAGAATGAGGGAAATGCTCCTACAAAGTTGAATTTGATTCCTAATCTGTAAACCATTGCAATTTAGTCTCTTTTTAATTGTGGAATAGATTGGCCAGCCTTGTTTCTGTTTTGGAATCCAAAGACAAAGTTCAGAAGTCAGAGGTGTAAGATGATAAATTTTCAAAATCACGGAGGAAAAAAAATATTTTGCCTAAAAATATCATATTTGAAGAATTTTTGTGAGAAATAATATTTTTTATTTTTTAAAAATTATATATTTATTTAAATATTAAAATAATTCAAAAATATAAAAAATTTGAAAAAAACGCTGAAACATAGTTCCAAAGATCCCTTGAAGTAATTCAGAATATTTGAAATTGTTCATAAAGATTATCAAACTTCACATCTGCTTTTCAGTTTGATTTACTTAGTTAATGAATGAGTTAGATCAAGGATTTTAACCACTCAATTTTAATCCAAAATTAGTTCCTCGGTTTTTCTCTGACACTTTTCTCTTTTACTTTTTAATCTGATTAACAGAATTAACTACCAAGAAAACACCTAGGCAACTACCGTATCTACTTTTCTCTCAAATTCCCCCTTCTTGCTTATCAATCAGAGAGACAGAACTCACTCAACATCAACCATCAAGAAAATAAAGAATCTTTGACAGCACTCTTTACTTCTCGCAGAACCCTTCAACAGTCTTGGTTTTTATAGCGAGCAGTTACCTGATCAAGTGATTCTAGACATAAAAGATGGCAGAAAGTGTGAAAAAGAATCGTGTTCCAGAAGATGTGTTGATAGATATTCTCATAGCATTACCTATCAAATCCTTATTAAGATTCAGATCTTTATCAAAATCATGGAACTCCGTCATCAGTGACAAAGACTTCATCAGTGCCTTTTGGCCCAAGCCAAACCATCGCTTCTCCTTCGTCGATGGCAAAATCGTCAAGAATCCTACTCTCTGCATCTCGATAAGAATCTTTAGATAGGAGCTTATAGTTCCAGAACTTGCCCTTTCGGAGTGAAGCTGATTGTTTTGATATAATAGGTTCTTGCAATGGAGTTGTACGTCTTTCAGATATTAACCAAGGTCGCACTAAGAGTCTTATTCTGTGGAATCCAGCAATTAGAAAACATTTGAATCTAGCACTTCCAAAGTTATGCGGTCCACACAGTGCTAATTGGGGTTTTGGCTTTGATTTACCAAGTAATGACTACAGGTTTGTTAGAGTTGCGAGACAAGTTTCATCTAAACGTGAATTCCCTATGGAGTTTCAGGTTTTCTCGCTTAAAAGAAGATATTGGGAGCGCATTAATTTTAGCCCTACTCTTGGTCCGTTTTGCGTTGCGCCTGATGGCTGTAACAGTTCTGGTCATTGCAATCAGGTTGCTCTTAATGGCTTTCTTCATTGACTTCTATATCGTGAGGAGAATGACAACCGCCGGAGTTTTGTTCTTTCTTTTGATTGAAGTAATGATAAGCTTGGGGAGATAATGTTGCCTCAACGTTTGGCCAGGATGCCACTCAATGGATGGTGATTTCAGAGTTTGACGACTCCCTTGGGGCGCTTTTCTATAGGTGCGCTGCCAAGTATGCTGACTTATGGTTTATGAGAGAATATGGAGTGAGGAATTCATGGAACAGACTATACAGGGTTCGAGTAGATGGATTCACGAGGGCAATGGTTTTCAGGAAGAATGTTGAAATATTAATCAGAAAACATGGAGGAATTCATGGAACAGACTATACAGGGTTCGAGTAGATGGATTCACGAGGGCAATGGTTTTCAGGAAGAATGGTGAAATATTAATGAGAAAACATGGATCGCATGAGGTAGTTTCATGTGATCCACAGACTCGAGCAAGTCGTAATTTGAGGGCTAAAACAATGCGACTACGTAGAATATTTTGTTCAGAGTCTAAGTATACTCAATGAATCAAATGAGATCGACTCAGGAGAAAAAAGAAGAAGCAAAAGGTACGAATCACTTCCCACCTTTTGGCAATTCGATCTCTTGTTTCTCTCGAAGTATTTGCTTTTGATACACTTGAAAATAAGAATTTGTGATAGGTGTTATATTTGAAACAGCAGAAGTTCATCTGGATCAACAAGACTCCCTATTACTCAATTAGTATTTCCAACTGCTGAATCATGTTTTTCAAATTTATTCCATATGGCATTTACAAGTACAGGTATTCTTTCTGTTTTGTGCAAAAGATACTGATTATTATGCTCTGCAAGTCCTTATGCCATTCTCTATACAAAATTTGCTAGGAGTTATTTGCCACATTCATCTAGATGATGAGTGCACACCAATGCGAAATTATGTAAGATCCAAGCTGAAAATTGTTTCTTCACATGTATATAGCTAAATGTTTCTTCACATGTATATAATTGTTCTTGGTTGTAGGTTTCAAGGCATGGACAGATGAAACTATTTCTTGGTCTACGATGATAGTTTTGGCAAATTCTGCAGAATTATATATAATTTGCCATTACCTGGTGACTGGATAACAACTCAAATTACGCGCAAGACTCTATGGATATGCTGACATTGATGATACAAGGTTTCTCTACCGTACTTGCTTTCTTCTGTCTCGAAGATTGTGAGTGATTTTAGACTTTAGTTTGAACGGTAAGCATGTTAGAAATAAGTAGAAGATATTTGTAACCAGGGTGACAGGACTGAGTTTTCATAACGGTGAACCTATGAAGGATCCACAACTTTACAGGCACGCGATTGGCTCTCTTCAGTATGCAAGTCTCACGGGATCAGACAATGCATACTGAGTAAATATACACTGTCAATTCATGTCTGCTCCTCATACTCTTCATTGCCAAGCTGCTTCTTTTTTTCCTACTTGATATTTACTCAATTGCATCAATTGAACTTTTGTTCAAGGAGAGATTGAATCTCTATTGACATATAAATTGATCAAAAACACTGTTTTCGTTGTATTAACACAGTTTTAGTGTTAATACTAATAGTTAGCTAAAGTCTGTGGGTAATTTAGGCTTCTGCGCCTCCCACTTAATTTCTACAACAGAGAAAGAAGAAGTAGGAGAAGAAGAAAACGTAACAATATTAACCAATACTTATTCTGACTTTCAGACAGAATGAGAAACAAAACGGTCTCTAAACACCAACAACAAACAGTGAGGACCTTTCTCACTCAAGTGAGTAATATCCGAGAGAAGACAAATTAACAAAATCTTTGAGACTCTTTCTCTCTTCAAAACCTTTTTGATCGCACCAAGAAGCGAAAGAAAAGACTTGAGACCCTTTCTGCTGTTTCTCCCAACTTTTCCCTTCTTTCTCGACATCAACCACCAAGAAAACACTCACAGTTCCGTCCCTGAACTTTTTGACAAGAAGAGAACTATTGCAGGGATGTCAATTTCAGTTTCTAACAACTCTCTTACTGTGAATCTCTATGACTGTCTGGATGGCAGTCTGAGTTTTGAGATATGGATGATGAACCAATATGGTGTGAGAGAATCATGGGCCTTACAATTCCGTATTCACGAGGAATTCCCACTTCCTTATTTTACACCACGTTAATCCGAGAAACAGTTGTAACTACCAAGAAAACAGCCCTAGCTGACTACCAGAGAAATGACTGAAAATCTCTCTCCCTGAACCTTTACTCTCCCCTGCTATATCTCTCACATTTTCCTTCTTGTTTTTTCAATCCGAGAAACCAAACACTATCAACATAAAAAAATCAAGAAAGCGCCACAGAAAACAATCAGTGAGAGAACTTTTTCTCCGTCAATTCATCTCCTCTACCAAACCAAGAAACCAAAGAAAAGAATCAAAGATTCTCTCTGTTTCACTGATTCTCTCTGTTTCACAGAGAACTTTTTCTCCGTCAATTCATCTCCTCTACCAAACCAAGAAACCAAAGAAAAGAATCAAAGATTCTCTCTGTTTCACAGAACCTTTAATCGTTATCAATAAGCACCACGAAATTCCCGCACACACTTTGCAAACTCCACAAGCAATCTTTGAATAGTAGTTGAAGTTGCCTGATGGCGTTAGACATATAAAGATAGCAGAAACGATGAAAAAGGATGGCGGTCTTCCAGAAGATTTGTTGATCACGATTCTCACGGCATTACCTGCCTAATGTTTAGTGAGATTCAGGTCTGTTTCAAAGTATTGGAACTATATCATCACTAGCGCCGAATTTATCAGTATCCATTTGGCCCAGGCAAAGCCATTGCTTCTCTTTCATCACCACAACCAGTCTTACTCTCTGCGTTTGGATAATGAGTCTTTAGACATGTGGTCAAACTCAGAGTTCGAGTTGCCTTCTAAAAGAGAAGATGATGACTTCCAAATAATTGGTTCTTGTAATGGAGTTATATGTCTTTTAAATAGTCCGCAAGATCATGGTCACAGCATAATTTTGTGGAATCCATCAATTGGAAAATCTTTGAATCTTTTACTTCCAAGGTTATCTAATCCTTTCCACGGTATTTTTGGTTTTGGCTTCAATCGGCAAAGGAATGACTACAAGTTTGTTAGGGTTGCCACACCTCACTACCCAGTTGGATGTCAGGTTTACTCGGTCAAAAAAAGATCTTGGAAGGCCATTGATGTTAGCCCTGCTCTTGGTTACATTAACCCCATACCTTCAGTCTTATGGGGACGTTCCAGTTCTTACAACTATGCTTTCCTGAATGGGGTTCTTCATTGGCTTGTAGACAGAGAGGAGTTTGGCAGTAGGTTTGTGCAATCTTTTGATCTAAGAAATGATTCGTTTGGGAAGATGATGCTGTCTCCATATTTAGCTAGCAAACTCGATGAGTGGATGGCAATTTTGGTGTATGATAACTCCGTTTCTTTGTTTCTCAACGACCTCGATACCAAGTATATTGAGATATGGGCTCTGAAAAAATATGATGCAATGAAATTATGGGCCCGAAAACTCAGGATTAAAGCAGTCGGAATAGGATTGGCAATGGTCTGTAGGAAGAATGGTGAAATATTAATGACAAGATATCCAAGTGACGAAGTGGTTTCATGTGATCCTCTGAGGAACGAAATTCATGATCTGCGAAATTTAGGGCTAAGTGACTATGCTGATTCTTTTGTGGAGAGCCTAGCTTTACTTGATGAATTAAAAGAGGACTGAAAAAGAAAAAGTAGAGATCACTCACTCACCCACTTTTGCAATTTCATCCTTTAAATGCATTCATTAGACAAGCATGAACACCTGCTAAGATAAGGTATCTATGCTAGTGCCCTGGTATCTTTTGGGATTGATATGATCTGTGATTGCCTTTTCCCTTCATCCTTTTCTCTCCATGATTGTGACGATGCTGTTCTGTTTGAACTATGAATTTAAGCCACGAATGTGCTTTCTTCCTCCCTTTCCTTTCCTTTTACTCTTTTGGTTGACAAGACATTCCTATTTTTTCCTGCTACTGATAATGAGTATTCAAACTGTCGAGCTTGTTTTCAAAATTCATTGCATCAGTCAGCTACTAGTTAGTTCTTCATGTTTCATGCTAAAGATATTGATTAATTATTTCTGCTCCGAGTGATTCTGTAAACAAAATTTACTTTCCCATGTTTGCTACACAATGCACACTAATAAAACAGTTCCGGGTGATCCAGGACTTTTACATGGTGACTTGATAAATGATAGCAACTCAAATTAGGTGCAAGCGTGCATCAGGTTCCCTGGCGCGTAGGATTAAAGCTTTTATTTGGGACTAATCTCGGAAGACAATTTTCCAAACTTCTTGGTGATTTCTATTTTTCAAAGACTTCTTGATGATGCGAATTGAGTTGGGAATCTTAGACCAAAATCTTAGACTCAGCTGAAACTTGCAGGATAAGTCGGTTCGGTTCGTTTTTTATTTGATGATTGCTACTTTTTAACCTAGAAAACCTATACTGGTCATGGTTAAAATGGAAAGAATTTTGTTTGGTTTAAACGAAAGAAGGGGAAAAAAAGTGGAAAACAGCATGTATAAAAGATTTTTACCTTTTCCTCTTATCTGACGAGAACGAGATTTTTCCGACCTCGGGATCGAATAATTTCCGAGCTTCCCCATGTAAATTTATGCACCCAATATCAAGTGAAAAGGCAAAAGCCCATTCAATCAAACATTACGAGCCAAGAAGAAGTGCACAATCACCCTCCAGAACGGATGGCCAATCCCTGGCACAATCTTGGAAACTAAAAACGGTTTTATTTTCAAAAAGTGCATTTATTTTCACACTTGCATGTTACATTGCAGGGGCTAACAGCAGTAGCATGCAATGAATCGTTTCAACTAGACACGGCCCAATTTTCCAGAAGTAATCGGTCTATTTAACCATACCATAACGTGACTGAAACAAAAATTCTTCAAAATAATAAGAAAAAGGATGAACTCAAACAACGCTAAATGTCTCCAGATTGAGCATTGATCTGGCACCTGGGGAGCAAATTTCCAAATTCACCTGCGAAGGCGTGGTAAGCATTATTAGAAGCGAGGGTTGATTCCAGGTTTGTTTTTCTGGGACTAGGCACGCAACTTTCATTTTTACTTTATCAAAAAGCCTGATTGAAGGCAACTTTAACTACTATTTTCTTGTTGGATTTGGTTATTATTTATACATATGAGAAGGAGGCAAAGCAAGCGCAAAAAATTTACCAGAAGCCTGCTCATCTTGAACTGGATTTGCTAAGCATCAGTGCCTGAAAGAAAACATGTTAGCATGGTCAAGGACTTTAGGCTGGAACAAAGCTATTACGAAATGATCCACTTAATTTCTCGTCTTCTTTTCTCATGTATAGAGTCATTTGGGTCAGTTCATAACTTGTAATAGAAGAGGACAGTGCCCCAGTTCTCTGAATCAGTAGCACCCATTTTAGACTAGTTGCAGAAATAATTTCTTTTGTTTCAAATATATAAATATATATTAAAGGTGCGCATGCAAGAAGGTTGCACACAAATCTAGTAAATCCATGACAACACAAGAATTTGGCACAGACAAGCATCAACAAAGTATTGCTTCCCGAGTTCTAAAATGAAAGAGTTTGGATTCAGATATGTATGGCAACTGACATATTTTCTGAAGTATTTTCTTGGCACCACTTTTTTTTATCAGTGTTTTTCATAATTTTATTATCTTCATTCCAGAATTACATTAAAAAAAAAACCCAGAAACCATAAACTTAATGTAGTTTTAACAGGGAAAAAACACGTTTAACCATGCACAAAATAAAATGTAGCTAGATCAGATATGATAAATCAGGACAAGATTATTTTCTATAAAGAGGCGCAACGAAGATTTTTTCATTGAATAGTCATTGAAACTACTACCATTTTACACGCATCATAATACTGGAAAATGATCAGGGAGTTGGGTCATTGAAGCAGCCGAAAACTCTCTAGAACTATACTGGTGAAAAGAAAAAAACCAATGGAATTGATTCAATCAACATAACCGAAAATAATGTTTCAAGGTTTAACAACTATGACTGGATATCAGCCAAATTATCAAAAAAAAAAAAAGATGCAAGAAAAA